TCTCGAAGACACCAGCCAGGGAAAGCTTCTCGTTGAGAATCTCCGTGCCGCTGCGATGTTGGCTGGATAGCCGATTTCACGACCGCTGCCGACCAGTCAGGGTGTGTGATCTTGATCAAGTAGCTGTTTGTAAATAATTTATTTTTGACAAATATTCTTACATTTGCTACAAATTTGATGAGATAAGGTGAGGCGTGCACGCCTCGAGAGAAAAAGATTGGACTGATGTAAAGCCAAAAATACTTTTAAATATATCTATATTCATTATGAGCTAGATAAATTATATAGTTTTTTTTTAACATAATTTTCTAACAATAAAGTTAATTTTGGATTTCCTCTAAACAATAATAATGTTAAAGTTGAAGATTCTCCTATCTATGATGATAATATGTTTTTAACTTTTAGTATCAAATATTGGTTAGGTTTCTAAGTAGAAGTTAATATTGGAGTTCATTTAAATGCTAACGTTGAAGGTGAAGATTTTTATCATCTATGATAACAATGATAACTTTTGGCATCTAATAGCACATACTAATGAAGACAAAGCTCTTCTTTATTTCTTCTTTTGGACGTGATTCCAATTTTATTAGGATGAGATACTCAATATTTTAATAAATAGTGATCTTTATATAATGTGTTGTTATAATTAGTTACGATCACTATGCCCCGTGCGCTGGATTGAGGTTGCAGATATGACTCAAGAGGCCGCGGGTTGGGAGTGTGGTGGTTCTCAAAAAGCTCGGCATTGGGGACTGCGGTGGTGGGCAGGAGACAACCGACTTTTATCATCGCAGATTGGTAGGGAACCGGCAGTGGAGCGCCATGAAGGTTCGTACGACGACCGTAAATTAACAAGTCATGTGGGTTTATGCGATGTTCTATTTATGTTGAGAGTTGTCTTTATGTTTATGATAATTTTATAATATTTTTTTGTTAATTCAAAGTTATTTTTATGTTTCTTGGCAGTTTGGTAGTGATGTTTTGTTGTTATTTCATTGATGTTCATTGTAATTCGTAAGTACCTTTTTGTAGTTGCAACCTTTGAAAGATATGTAATCTTCTCACACTATAATGCAAGTTCTTTATTTTTTTGTTGAGTTTTCTTTGTGCTCTCCGTCGATGGTTTCTTGTTCTTTCGTTATGAGATGCTTTTGTTTTAATTTAAATAACTGTCGAACAATTTTCTTATTAAAATTTTGAAATGTTTAGTTTGTTTTATTATTAACTCAACTTTTTTTTTTTTTTTAATTTAAATACTTTTTTGTTAACCGTTTATTTAGCATGTCTAATTGTGGCTCCAATTTAGGTATTAATGGAAATCATATATATCAAATGTTTTTGTGGGATTTTTTTTCAACCACACACAAACCAATTTCTGAAATCCACCGCGATTACACAAGAGGCATGTAAGTGACAATCAGATCTAGTTTTGAAGTACCCAAACAAATCGTCGAGGACTATGCATACAAAAATTGGTGTGTGCAAAAAGTGGTGTGTGCTTAGGCGTGTATGCTGGTAGTGAGGGAGATTAAGGTAGTGTTTGGTTGGAGGAAAAAGGAGGGGAGGGGAGGGGAAGTGGTTTTTTTATATTTTTCTTGTTTGGTTGGAATTTAAGATAGGGAAAATTTTAACTTAAAATCCCCTCCCTTCTCCATTTTTGATCCCCTCCAAAAATGGGGGAATTCGGAGGGGAGAAAAAATTTAAATATTTACAATTACAATATTACCCTTATTTTATATAATATTTTAATTTGTATTTCTAACATCATTAAGGAGATATTTGTCATTCTAATATTATTTTCCCTTCTTTTTTTTTCGTAAAATTATTTTACATTACCTCTGATTCTCTTCCCTTCCCTCCATTAAAATCTCTCCCTCCCTTTCCCTTCCTTGAACAAACATATTCTTAAATGAAAGGGAAAAAAATTAAGATGAAAGGAGAAATTAGAAGAAAAGAGCGAGAGAGGAGGAGAATCGAAGAAGGGACTGGAGAATAAAAAATAAAAACAAGGAGGATCAATCATTTAATAAAGTCCAACAATTATTTTTGTGGACATAAAAGTATTTAATTTCATCTTAGTGGAATGATTTTTATTAATAAGGAATTAAAAATTTACTCATGTTATTATGTCAATGAAAGAAATAATGGTGGTACATGGGGTAATTTTTTCGCCCCGCCTATCATATCTATCTTTCTGAAAACACGGCCACTCTTATGAATACAAGGAAAAAATAATAATTATAATGAAAAATGCCCAAAATTAATGAAGATCAGCAAACAAGAAGGCCGATCTTTCTCCTCCACTATCCAAATCTCGATCTTGCTTCGACTTATCATCTAAACGAGTTTATATATTCACTAACTGAAGCGCAGAAGATTAGCATACCATGTACAAGGTGGATATGTAGTTGAAATTTCACAAGATCACGACATTTGGCAAGTTGATACATCTTAATGTGCCCACGGTGGTAGATTAGAAAGATCATGAGATCATGACACATGATCGGTTGACAATCCCGGAGAGTATATATGCAATTAGTATACTTATTGAGAAGGGTAAATAACCCAGAGGGTGAAAACCAGAGTATTTCACATTGATAGTAAATAGGATATAAATGTTGTTCACTAGAGTAGGATAAGACATATATAAAGGGGAATCTAGTCCCTATTTATTACATTCTGAAGGTAAATTTTATTCATGTTTTTACACTATGAATAGTGTGTTCTTTATTCAAATGGTAACATACATAAAGCTGCAATGTTCTTGTTTATTGAACAGAGTTAATTGCAGGTAAATTACTTAACTTGTCTAGTGAAGGTGGCTGCTATAACACTCCTAACACTGTGCTTTTTTGAATCCCAGATCAAGAAGCCATGCACAACAGATCCATTTTTTCCCCAACTAGTCGTGTTCTTGCTAAGCTGAAACGTCACTTGGTACGTCGCCTTCTGCTTCGGGCTCGTGAAACACATCTTCGATGGCCTAACTCTAACAGCCACACCCTGGGGCTGAACTATGCTCGCGGAGTAACACGCGGAGGCCTCGCCCACGTTGGTGACAGTCCGGTAGAAGAAAGTCTTCTTAAAGTCGGGCGAAACCGAAAACGTGGGGTAGTTCAGTTGCCCCTGAGGGATTGTCAACGAGCAATTGGCTGGCACCTGTGTGATCATCATGACCTGGCTCTCCGTGTATCCCAAGCCGCACAAAAACGGGACGTAATCATCCATTGCAATGTCGTAGACCAGACCGGGATCCACTGCCTTGTTCGGGTTCACTTGGCCGGCCCCCATCGCTAAGATATTGGCTGGAGTAAGTTTCTCGTCGAGAATCGGTATGCCGTTGGCATTGACGAGGTCCGCGGTGGTCATAATAGCAGATTTCACGGCCGCTGCCGACCAATCGAGGTGTGCGCTCTTGACCAGGGCCGCGACCCCGCTGAGGTGGGAGCACGATATTGACGTGCCCGACAAGATTCTGAACATGGTCCCTTTAAATTTTAGGCTCCAAGGAGACCAGCTGGCTATGATGTTTTGGCCCGGCCCCAAAATGTCAGGCTTCAAAACCCCAGAAACTTGCTTGCTTGGCCCCCTCGACGAGAAATACGAGACGGCAGGAGCCGTCGTGTCCCCCAACTGCGTCCCCTGAAACGAGATCATCGCCGTCGGGGACGTCTCATTATTTATATAGTCTTTGATTTTCTGACCTGCCGAAAAGGACACTGACGTTGACGGGATGGATCGTCCGGGATCCGACATGTGTGTAAACCCGGCGGCTTCTGGGTTGATCAGTATCATGGCGACACCCCCGGCAAATTTCACGTCATCGGCTTGATAGTCCGGGTTGTCAGCGTTGACTTCAAGCAGAACAATCTTTCCCGAGACGTCGAGCCCCACCAACGGTCCATCGACGTAGATGAGCTCCAAAAGATTATCGGAAGAGAAGTTTGTCGGCTGGTACGCGGACTCCCCATCCAACTCCACCCCGTTTCCCAGCTTAACCGGGGCCGGAAACCTCCGGTCGATCGTGCTTGCCCCGACCGTGAGAGACCACGGCATGTCGTTGACCACCGTCGAAGCGTTCGGTCCCAAGTTTCCCGCTGCGAAGCTCACGAGAATCCCGTTACTGGCCGCCGCGAACGAGCCCACTGCCGTGGCGTCGTCATAATACGGGACGCCTTTGCCGTAAGAGGCCAACGGTACAGAAAGAACATCCACGCCATCATCGATGGCGATGTCGATTCCGGCCACGACGTCGCTCTCCCGACAAAGCTTAGAAATGCAGACTCTGTAAATGGCGAGGAAGGCTTGCGGGGCCACCCCAGAAGCTGTCCCTTCGGCGACGTCGTTGTCGACACGGACGAAGGTTCCAGCGGCGGTGCTGGCGGTGTGTGTCCCGTGGCCGTCGATGTCGAGCACCGAGGCGGTGGCGTTGCCATTGATGATGCCCCGGGCGCCGACGATCTTGCTGGTGCAAAGGCTCTTCGGCTGGCAGGTGCCCTTCCAACGGTGGTGCGGTTTAGACATCTTGCTACCATTGAACGAGGGGTGGTTCGGGTAGTAGCCGGTGTCGAGGACACCGATGGTGATACCCTGGCCGAGGTGAGTTTTCCCCCAGGCTCCGGTTTGTTGGGTAAGGCCGAGGAAAGCCGGGGAACGGGTCGTCTGGAGAAGGTATATACGTTCAGGGCGTACGGAGATGACGCCCGGGTGATTTTTTAGGGACTCGGCTTCGTCGGAGGTGAGGGAAGCCGAGAAGCCGCTCATGGCATGCTCGTACGAGTGGATTAGGGAGTTTTTTGAAACGAACGAGTTGTGGTAGCTTATGGTCGAGTCAAAGGGGGCTTCGCCGGAGTTTTTCATCACGTGGATGATATAAGTGGTTTTCTCATGGTCACGTGAGAGGGTTGGTGTGAGGAATGAGGAGAAGAGGAATATGATTTTGAGTGCATAAGATAGTTTGAGAGGACGAGCCATGGTGAGTTTGAGTGTTCAACTTGTTAAATGAAGTTGCATGTATTTATAGGAAGCATGAGAGACAACTTATCAGCTATCGGTGAATCGATGTGAAGAAACTTTAATATAATTTTAATAGGCATATCTCTTAGTTTAGTCTTGTACTTTTTGTCCTAGTAATACATTCAGTCATAAAAACGTGATTGAGCAATAACGCTTTTTCTTTTTCTTTTTTTTTTAACACCCAGAAGAGTGAGGGTTAGGTCGGACCCCTAACATCTTTAGAACATTTAGGTCCTTAATTGAGAAAAAAAAATCTTTTGGACCCCGATTTGATAGCTTAACCTATCTTTCAGGCTTGTATTATTGAAATAAAAACTCCATAAAGTATTTATGAATTATTGTACTGTTTAAAATGATATTTGTATCATAAATTCAGTTCAAGTGGTAATATTATTTAATCTGAAATGATGTTTTATTAGAATTCATATTGAAAATCATACACATGGTTGAACCGGACTGCCATACAACTTGCACTATTTTAATATATTATGTTTTTTGAAGAACAAAAAATAATAATTTCATAACTTTATGGATTATTATTTAAATAGCTATTTATTTATTTAGTTTTTGGGTGAGATGATGAAAACTAAGGTGGTAGGAAAGTGAAGTGCTTATTTGACAATTGCGAGTAAGTTAGTTACTAGTTACAATCAATTTAATGAATATATCATTCTCGTATCTCACTGAACATGCAATATTGATGATAAAAAAATATTTTTTTCGATACAAAAGAGGAAGGTTATTGTCTTAGACTACGATATTTCGAGGATGGGCTATCCCGAGAACATCATGATAAAAAAATGTTAATACAACTTGTTGCCATTATTCATCCTACTATTAATTCAAATCCGCTCTTATTCGATTTGAAATAGTGTGTTATTACTTATTAGAATTCATACCATACATCATATACATGGTTGAACTTGCCACACAAGTTGTGCTATTTTAGAATGTTAATAAGATTCTATCGAGTATTTTTTTTCAACCACACACTTTCATAAATGAAATAACACATAATTACAATCAGACAACAATCGGTTATAATCGAAATGAGCAGTCACACGGCTGGAACGCTTGGGAAGACCACCCAACTGGTATCCTAATCTAAATCGCACTACACACCACAAACTCCCAACGAGAGAATATTACCGAGAATAAAAAATGTTGATATAAACGAATATTAAAAAAACCACTAAAAATATTGAAAGTTCCATGCATGTATGTTGAAGCCATCTTCCTCCACCAAACATTCAATGGCACACCAATGGAGAATTCATCAATGGTGTGCAATCCACCACCTTCTTCATTCACACCATTTTGTCAGTGGTGGTGTGCTAATTCATATCTATAAATAGAGTGTTTATTTCATTCATTCAAATCATCCTTGAGAGTGATCAATCAACCTAGAGAGTGTTGAAACACAACCAAGAAAGAGTTGTGGAGTGTTTGAGAGTTTTTTGTTTAGAGTTTGTAAGTCTCTTGTTTTTATTCTTGTGAGTAATAGAAACTTATTTTTCTCTCAAATTATGCTTATGATCTTGGGATGATACCACAACAAGTGGTACCAGAGCTTGGTTTGAAGCTTTCGAGCTTATTTTCAAATTTTTTCGAGCTTCTGTAGAAATTTCGAGTTTCTGAGTTGTGCTCGAAATTTAATTTCGAGGACACCGTTAGATTCGTCTCGCCGAGTCGGTCACGGTGATATCTTACGGGCGAAAAACGGACACCGGAGCTGCCCCGAAAAGCCTCCGCAAGTTCTGGAAAAAAAAAAA